GAAACTGACAATTATTTAGCCATCTAATTTAGTATTACAATTGAACCTTTTAATTTTTTTCTAAGCGTCTTCCTAGTTATGCAATTATTCCATGGTATAATTTCAGCAAGTCAAGAGAAACTTTGAATTTCATTTAGCTACATTCGCACAACTTGATATTCGAATTGTTTCAATTGATTAAAGAAAAGGAAGAAAATGTAAGAGACACGTATTAAGCTCATGCGGGGCATGGATAGCACAACACTCTTTACACATGAGCAATATACACATGAGCCCTAACGGCTGTTCTCCTGTAAGAAAATATGGATAGCCTTCAGTTTTCCCAAACAAAGCGCAAATCAAAATTCGAGTGGTGTTCTTTTTCACACTGGTACCGATAGGTTATTCTTTTCCGTTGTAGAGGCTGCCAAAAAAGGAAAATCTTCATTAATTTTCCGTGGTACAGTGTTCCCAGAAGTCCTTCTCGGCCTTTACGTTTGCAATCGTTAGTGGTATACATAAATTTTCCGTTAAGAAATCTTTTAAATGATGCAACTATTTATAATTTGGCTTTTTCAAGTAAAGGAATCAATTTCGTAAATAACAGAAATATCTAAGTGTTTTATGTTCCTTCGGTCACCGTACTCATAATTAGGGAACCTTTGTACTCGGTATAAAAATATAAAAATGTTGAATGCTGTACAACAAAAATTTCCCGAGATTTTGGATATTATAAATGCATATCATATTCAAAGGCCGCATACCAATTGAGGACCTAAATGCGGTACGTAATATAAATTAAATATCAGTTTAGAAAATGGTTTCTGTAGATAAGAGATTAAGTGATGAACATTTGTATTATTGAAAAATATTTAACAATGTAATTTTTTCAAAGTAGAAATCAAATCTTATTCACACAACTTTATAGAAAAATGATGTTTTACACAACAAGGGCAGCTACAATAGGCACACGTACAAATTTGTAATTTTATTTGCATAATTAGATTTGAAAATATTGGATGTTTAATGAATGTTTTGTATGATTTAAAATAATAAATCTGAAGTTATAAAACTTCCTGGGAATATTAATGACGTATTTTTATATTTAAAAACTTATAAATTAATTGTCTGAAAATTCGTTTTAGTTGTTGACCAATGCTCACTTGTCTGAGCAATATTCACCCCAAGCGACCACGATATTTTCGATGGCGATGTTTATAAACAGCGAAGTTTTTGAACCGCTTTATTTTCGACGTCGATGTTTTGTATCACGATGTTTTAGAACTGCGATGTTCTCTCCCACGATGTTTTGTAGCACTACGTTTTCGCCTTGCGTTGTTTTCTCCGCTACGTTTTCATCCGCGATGTTATCAGCGGGCACCATTATAGGTGGTACCATAAATTTATAATATCAGTGGGACTTTTTTACTAATTCACGAAAAATTTCGAGATTCAAAGAATCGAATTTTTTCAAATTTATAATTATTATAAAACGATTTTCTTGGTTTTATGCTCAGTAGAAGCGTAGTATAAATCAATTTTTAAAATCAGTAGTCTTAATTTTGTTCTCCAATAAGCCAAGGTTTCGGAGATTTATCAGGTATAAAAGATTTTAATATTAAGACAAATACCATATTTTATTATTGCTATTAATTATACATCAGATCATTTTTGTTGTGATACAATTTACTTTATAATTCTTATTAATAATTAACATCAATCTTGATGACTTTTCTGGTGAAATATATTTCAGTATTTTTGGAAAAGAAATGATGTACCACTAATGTTTAATTAATTTCCTCTTTGTGGCGCAAAAATATACTTCTATTTTACTGTTGTGCATATTTCTACATGACTTAATAATTCATGATTTTTGAACATGTTCTTCAAATTTAAGAGATTTTTTAAAAAAATTAAAGACAACAACAATATTGAAGGAAAAGTTTTGCCTGTCGTGTTGTTTACATCTATGAGGATAAATCTTTTTCAAGCTGAAATTGGCAGTTAAAATGCTAAAACCCATCCGATTGCACTTTACTTATCCTCTAGCAGTTTCATTGAAACAAGATTTTGCATAATGAAGCTATTTAAGTGTTGTTCTTATAGGTCATATTCTCATATTTTTCATATTCAGATATATATTTTGATAACGTAGTTTAAATATTTAATTTGTGCTACTATTTTTAATAAATGATTCTTATCAACCGTTATCTTTTCTAATAAGTAAAGGAAAAATCGTAAAATTGTTCTTTATCGTTATAATATGCATAGAGGAGAGTTATACATATATTATATTATTAATCATTCTACACACACTTTGATAAGAACATGTGTAAAATATTTTTAATTAATATTATTTGAACTTATATTTATCTACTGTCTGTTTTTTTTACTTAAAGCTATTTTTAGTTTCAGGAAACTTCTCCTATAGTATTCCTTCGTACGTAAATCGCCGTGATACATTGGGGAATGTTTTACTTCACCGTGCCATCAGAATTTCAGATTATCATTTCACCAAACTGCTTCTCCAAAAGGGTGCTGACGTTACCAGTATAGACATGGAAGGATCAACACCTCTACATATTGCTTGCAGCAAAAAATCTTTAAGTAATATAATGTGTTTTGAAGTATTTTCATCTTTTTTCCCTCATCATATAATGAATTAATTTGTAGGTTAGAACAGCAGTTAATGTATCGAATACTCAACAAATACAAAAATAAATTAATTGTTAAATGGTATTTTGAATCGTTTAACATATATCTCTGAATCAAAATAGACTATTATCCTAAAAACTTACGCCCAGTCAACATGTACAGTTCTACTATATCTATAAGCTTGTGTCCAATTCCTTCAGATTCCTTCAGTTCATAGCGAGTTATCGAGAAATCTGCACTAAGTCAGAAAGTTTAAAAGGAGATTAAAATAACCTTTTTTATTTAGCTCTGAAATAAATGGAAAGATGCTACTTATGCGACTAATCAACATAAAATAAAGCTAAATTTCAATGTAAGTAACGTAGTCTTCAAGAAGTAGAGTGCCGTAGTCTACCTATGTAACGTAGTCTAGAGTAGTAATGTAATAGCATAAAATAGACACTACTCAAGCTGATACGGCGCATATTTGAAACGTCGCTTAACAAGATGCTGGAACTGGAGTACAACTTAGGCACAGCTGGTGATAATAAGCAACAGCAACACGCGGCTGCCAGCAGCTCTAATCTAAACATTCGAACCCTCAGCGTCAATACGTGAACCAACTAATTTACATTCTGCTGAGAACTAGGGAAAAAAGTAGCTTATAGTAAAGTTATAATAATTATTAATCATAATAATACCAGATATCATAATAATTAATTAACATAAAGTATCTTACAAACAAGATATTACAGTTCACTTACTCTTGTTGCCAGTTTGCAAATAATCTACTATTACTTTATGCATCAATAGTAATTAAATGCCATTGTCAGAGAATTTTACGGTAACTTCTGATTATCCGCAAAACGTAAGCATGTGCCCCCAGCAGGCAATTGACGATTTCTACCGAAGAACCGAGCGTATTTTTTTTTAATTTTAATGGGACTGTGGTGATTACAGCTGATGAAAAAGAAATCATTGCATTTCTTTAGAAAGGTAGGGTTTTGCCTGAGTAGAGAAAGCAAAAGTTAGCCTTTCATGAAGCTGTACTTTCTAAGCGATTGGATTTTGTGTTTTAAATTTGTGTGCCCATAGTTTTAACTGAAAAGATTTCGGAGGACAGTGTATAAGGTATTTCTCCCGCTTTCTGAGCATGCCTTCGTGGTGTAGCGGTCAGCACGCTCAATGCGAATTCGAGAGGTCTGCGGTTCGAGTTCCGGCGAGGGCACTGCTCATTTTTCATGCCTCTTGCTTAGAAATAATCTAATGTTTGTACAAGTCTTGTGCGCAATATTAGTAAATTTCTACTATTCTCTAATGGGTTTTAAAGCGAAATGACATCGCTGTGTACATGGTGGGAGCAACGCCGAAAAAACGATGTTTTATCAAAAATGTTTCTTACATTGGCACAATTTTTGAAAATCGCTGCAGTCCTCCAAGTCTTAGACTAGCAAAACATGAGTCCCAAATCGTTGCGACTTTTCACAAGAGGGGTTCAGATAATGCGAAGTGCCAATTTTATTTTAAAAGTGAGTATTGTTACTAAAATTACTATCTCTCTGAATGTGGGAGAGGGGAGATTTTCTTAAATTTGTTCTGATGTTAATTCTGTCTTTTAGCATAGAGTGACGAAAGAAACATGACCTTCAAGATGGTCACAGACTGATTTTCATAGAAGTCTTGCTTTCATCCACTGTTATCAGTGAATAAATTAATTCTTCAAGGGTATAGGAAAAAAACATGTGAAGCACCACTTTGATTAGAGTATGATAGGTTACCTGAATGTGGCAAAGCCACGAGAAGAGAGGCCTTCCTAGAGGACTTTTCTAAATGCCAGGCTCGTATTCATCACGTGGAAAAAAACCATCATCATCAATGCAGCCAAGGCGTTTGTGTAAGTTGCAATCCAAATCTGGTCAAACTCCCAATACTTGGTGGTCTTGACCGTTTTAGCAACAGATAGTTTATTTGAAAAGGATAAATATATTCTGAAGCAACTTGCCTCGGTATTAGAACAACAATTTGGAGAACGTCGCACATTTGCGGTATGATTTTCGTTTCTAAGGCCAGTAAAATGTGTCGCCAACGGTTATAAATTTCTTGTAATTTTTACGAAAACTGTTCTAATTTTAGGGTCTTACGCAGAAAATTCTACTTTTAGGAATTTTTAGTTTTTATAACATAAACAAAATATAAGGTGTGGTTTCTGTTTCCGAATTATTTTAACAGCAAATTTTAATTGCTCAAACTGCCGAGATAATGTTTCTGTACAATAACTTACTGTTGCATGCATATGCTTTTAATTTTCATGTTGTATTAATAATCATTTTCTGGTTTTAAACTTTGCTGAATGCAAAATGTTCATGTATGTATGTATTTGTTTTTAGAGCTTGTGAAGCTGTTAGTTGAGAAATCGCCGCAGTATATTCTTGAGAAGGCTGATTTCAAGGGGCGCACTCCTTTAGATTTAGCCTGTGGAAGTAGTAGTCCAGAAGTTGTCCGGTTGCTCTTATCAAAAGGCTGTAGTGTGCTTGTAACTCCAAGGTTGGTAACATGGGTTACCTGGCACAACCGACCGAATGGCCCTCTACTGAATGCTGTATCGAACACCCCGAGACATGCCAAAATTATCGCATCTATGGTTTTAGACGCTGGTGCAAACGTAAGTAATTAAATCATGGTAGATTTTTTAAATAATAAATTTTTATTTTTTTACTATTAATTTTAAAGCAAAGATGTAATTTTCCGGATGTCAGTACCAAATTCAATGTTTACACTTTAATGGGTCATGCGAAAAGTTCTGTGGTTTTCAGAATTGCAGCGCGTTTTCTTCTATTTAGCTTCTACTCCTCATAACGAATGACCTTGATCGATGCGGATATTCAAACGTAATCTTTCTGCTCGAGTTGTGTAATTCTAGCATGCGACATACACATTTTCCCTCAGTGGTAAGGCGAAGAATTCAGAAGTCTGTTTCCGCTGTGTTATGTTCTTTTATTTTAGAAAATGGAAAAAAATATAGAGAAGCTCGGAAAATTAGTATCAAACAGGAAACCGTTTGTAGTATAGCATCCGCTGTAAACAAGAGCCTATTTAAGCAAGTTTACTGGAAACCAACTTTATGCAGTTCAGGAACTATCACAGGGAATAAATATTCAAAACATACAGTGTACGATAATTTGAAGATGAATGGATGTGTAAACTTTCATGATGTATGATGGTTACCTCACATAGTTCAACAGAGCAGAATGTGTTTTCTAGAGTATCGAGATGTGATTCTTTGCTGAAACGGTTCTTTACGGAGATGAGACGTGGATAATATGCATTACCATTACAAGAACAAAACGACAATGGAATAAACCAAAAGAATCAACCTTTAGTAACAACGAGATAGGGGGGTTGCATCCCAAAAGATTATTCTTTGTGTATTGTGGGTGAATTCTTGCCACCAAATCAGAAAATAAATTTGGAAAACTATTTTCCCCGGTGGCGCTTTTAAAGGAGAAATAGAAGCAAATTGCCAAGAACTGACCAATTAGTGAGCTGGTGCCTTCCATCATTAAAATGCTCGAAAACACATTTTCATGAATGACGGACAAAGACTACCTGAGTATGGCTGAGGTTTTTAGTCTCACTCGCCATATTTGCTAGATCTTGCTCCTTTGATTTTTATTTCTTCAGCTACTATATAATTTGCGGTACGACATGGAGTTGAGTTCTATATGGAAACTGTCAGAAAGGTCAACGAAAACACTATTAAGTATACCGACTATAAACTATACCATAAACAATGTCTTTTAAAATACATTTTCCGGAAACTGGAGAGATGCTAAAATATCAAAAAAAACGTATTTGTGCTTATTGTTCAATGAAACTGATGTTTTTATTCTGCTTCATGTATTTACCATCATAAATTGAAAGAACTTTTCGGATGGCCCAATATAAACCAAAAGACATTCAAAGCAACAATTAAGAGCATTTTTTCTCCTCAAACAAACAAATGTTCCCAAAAAATGCATAGTACAGTTTCTTTGGAGAACATGTTCTGAATATCTTTTCAGTGAGAATTGGTGGAACTGAGAAAACAAATTTCAATAGTTAAAAGGTAAATCTTAAATATTTACGTTGTGGAATTATGCGAGCAAGAGCTTTTAGAAAATTGTTTTTTCGAAGTTTACAGAACCAAAAAAACATACAGATATATTAGTTTATCTTCGTGGCAACTCCGAGTATATTTACGCTCTTAATACTTGTGATCTTTTTAAACCTTGGAACAATATTTACAGCATTTCCCTTCACATTGAATTCTACGCAAAATATTATTATCTGAATCCATTTTATGAGAAGAATGTTTACGCTAAGACAAAGAAGTTAGACATGAATTCTTATTTATTTATTGCAAATATATATATTTCAAAAGTGTGTAAAATTTGAATTTCCTCGGCATTGATGCACTAATTTCAAACATTAAGTACACTGAGAGTTAAACAATTCTAAATCTAAACTAACAACTGAACCTGAGAAGATGTAACGAATCCTTTATTGTAGCTAAAATAAAAATTTAAAAAGGTAATAAATGTCCAAAGAATACACAGTTCAGTTAACGCGTAGTCGGCTCACATTGCTAGGCATCGTCAATATTAAAATATTTAGCAGGGACAGTAATGGAAAACTAGGCAGTAATGGAATAAATAGGGCAGTAATGGAAAACTGAGAATTCAGTCTATCAAAACTGGAAGAATCGTTGCGTGCGCTCACAGATGCAAACACTCCCTGTCTTAAACTCCAGAAACCTTCCTTTTTCTACATTCTACTTTCTTGTAAGGAAAGGAGAAACGAGAAGTAACAGTAAAAACCCAAAACATAAAATAACTGGTTAATGGAAAATAATAGTAATCTTGCAAATTATTAAGTTAAGGCAATTGATTTCAAATGTTTGAGAATCTAATGGTAGTATATGTAAATTTAAATGTGTATAAATTTTTAAAAAACTATGGGCAATAAAATTCAGGGTAATTGTAGGGAATTTAAATGAATTTTAGTTTTAATTTGGAAACAGTATATTACTTGTCATATTTATTAAAAAATTTATTTGTTTTCAAGTAATAGCAAATTACGTTAATTATCTAACTTTTAACTAAAAATAATCTTAATGTCCATAAAAGTTCTGTCTTAATGGTTGAGATTTCTGCCATTTGCTACATTTTAAGAGTACTCAAAACAAAAATGTACTTCAAAATCTTAAACAAATTAATTTAAAAATACATAGTTATAAACAATAGAATATAAAGAAATACAAAGAAAAGCTCGATTATTGAAGATTCACATAGTTACGCTTTTTTTTTTAATATGTCGGCTTGTACATGGAACTTTGAGTAAATATTTACTTTAGGTACTAATATTTAAACTAAAAAAAAAAAAAAAAAAAAAAAATTCGCACTTGAAAATGTATTCAATCCCGAAGGTAATCCTATATTACGCCATTTCTTAACAGGTAAAACAAGCAAAGCACAGAATAGAGTAGAAGTAAACAAACAACAGCAATTTTATGACAAGTCATTCGCGACACCAACATTTCTCAAAATCCGTGGATCACACGTAGTCCTTCTAGATTCTCAAAAATGTCCTTTTCTTATATAAATGAAATTAATAGCGTTTTACTTCATTTCTTGTATATTCCGGAGCACTCAGTGTCATGTCACTAAGTGCGCCGGAATATGTTCCAGATATATTCTCAAAGCAAAATGAACTATATCATCTGTGTAGAAGGTAATTCTTTGACTGTTCTTATCAATCCATGAGAATTAAGGCGTTTTAGAGGAAACGTAGTTGTGTGAAACATCGAAATTTTTTATTCCTCCCCACTCTAGAATATTTTTAGAAGAACATTATATTATTTTTGGAGAGAATAAGACGCAATGAAGTATGTTCGTGTCTCGAAAGTTTGGGTCAGGTGCAGAAACGGCCACTGACTTGTCGCCTTTTGTTTGGCACTTTTTACAAGATTAATAAGCACGCTAATTGAATGTAACAAACTGACTGAAAGAGAACTGTTCATTGGACTGTCATTTGATACCGGACTAAAACACGAAATCTCAAGCATAAGATGTATTTATTTTCAGGACATCAGTACCAGTGAAAACGGATTATAGTGGAGTGTACAATGATGCTTTGACATTATATTTCGATTTGCTTCTACATATCTGTGTAGAAACGGCTTTCCTGACTAATTCAAATAAAAGCAAAGGATCGAAATCGACCTTATGTTTGTCTCGATCTCACATATTAGCTTTCAGTATACATACATGGAACAGCTGCTCAAGAATCGACAGGCTCATCCATGTCATTAATGAGACTACCAATAAGCACTTAAATTTTTGTTGATAAGATAAAGATTACCCCAATTGATAAAAATAACTTTTAACATTGATTTATTTTAAACATAAACTATACTGAATGACACCGAATCGTGAATCCGTAGTGTGGTACTTAAAGCTTACAAGTTCTAAGAATTTTTACCTGTCGTTTGTTTGGCCGTTGATGTTGAATTTAAAATATGCGTAAATGTGGCGCCAGAAATTGTCATGCGAAAAGACGTGTCAGCAGTAATACCAGGCTAAGATATATCAAGAAAATACGCCTTCGAGCTGCCTGTGTAGTAATCTGGTAAACAAGTAGAAATCATGGCTCCATCTGCTGTACAGGGAATGAATAATATTTCTGAAGAAGTATATAGCGAAATTCTGCCATTTCATTTTTAGACCTATATTTCACAATTCATTTATCATTAGTTATTGTTCTGAGATTGCAGCTCTCGTTAGCATCGTCTGGCATGTTTTTGAGGGACCTCTTAAGGAGTATGCTTCTCGGAAAAGGTGAGTCGACACGTTGAATAGGTGGTGTTTCTCGAGCCCCTTACAAAGAACGTCTGTCTTATGAAGGAAAGGTTGCATAGACATAACGTAAACCTGTTTGCTCTTACACCGCTAGAAAGCGGAGGGAAAAATTTGACAAGGAATTTTGCGATGCAACCTGGTGGGAGAATTTCCCCCTCTGCGATGTGTACAGGAAATTGAAGAACACATGTTAAGAAGAAACGGTCTTTGACAAAGCGTTTCTCCTTTGACTTTTCGCAATAATTTAAATCGGATTTTCTTACATTTTCGCTCAGACTAACTAATCCATTAATTAATTTACTTGCATGAAAAATATTCTTTTTCCTTTAAGGTTTAGAGAAATTTATAACAATATTCATTTTATGAGCTCTTGATAAACGTAATCTTCGCATTGGTTTGGTTTAGTGAGATTACGGCAAAGCACATTAGGGCTATCTGCCTAAGGCGAGGGATGCCTTCCTGGAGGATTTTCTAAGGGAAACTGGCGCGTATACATGTTACACATGGGAAGAACCACTAAAACGCCCATGCAGCCAGCCCGTTCACGGGATTCGAACCTCGGACAAAACTACCAGTTCAGCGACTTTACCGCTCGGCTGCTGGTGGGCCGTAACCTTCGAATTTCGACCCCGGCTTCGAGCTTTGACGACATATATTTCACGAATGCGCAGCTGTTTGCCTCTACATTGGGACGGATTCGCTCCTGTTGGTTCTGTTTTTAACAATACATATCCTTTGCCCCATATGACTGTTTAGGAGCTGCCTTCTTTGGAAAGTCTCCTCCCATCATCACAGGTCGCACCACTGCCAGCATCTACCTTTAAGACTATAAATTTTAAATAATTCAAGTTTAAACTTATAAGGACATTGGTTGGTATCGACAAGCAACAAGTGTAAGGTGAGCCGCAGAGCATTCTAATTTAGAAAAGTGGTCCCCATTGGAAGAACACTTTAGCAGTACAGTAGTAATTAAATATGTGTAAATTTAGCCAAATTTTCTCAAGTTTAGGTTAGGTTATTAAAATACGTCAAAGCATCGACAGCCCGCTACCCGAAGGGCACATTAGGGCTATCTGCCTAAGGCGCACGCCGCAAAGCACATTAGGGCTATCTGCCTAAGGCGAGGGATGCCTTCCTGGAGGATTTTCTAAGGGAAACTGGCGCGTATACATGTTACACATGGGAAGAACCACTAAAACGCCCATGCAGCCAGCCCGTTCACGGGATTCGAACCTCGGACAAAACTACCAGTTCAGCGACTTTACCGCTCGGCTGCTGGTGGGCCGTAACCTTCGAATTTCGACCCGCGGCTTCGAGCTTTGGACGAATATTTCACGAATGCGCAGCTGTTTGCCTTTACATTGGGACGGATTCGCTCCTGTTGGTTCTGTTTTTAACAATACATATCCTTTGCTCCATATGACTGTTTAGGAGCTGGCTTCTTTGGAAAGTCACCTCCCATCATCACAGGTCGCACCACTGCCAGCATCTACCTTTAAGACTATAAATTTTAAATAATTCAAGTTTAAACTTATAAGGACACTGGTTGGTGTCGACAAGCAACAAGTGTAAGGTGAGCCGCAGAGCATTCTAATTTAGAAAAGTGGTCCCCATTGGAAGAACACTTTAGCACTACAGTAGTAATTAAATGTGTGTAAATTTAGCCAAATTTTCTCAAGTTTAGGTTAGGTTATTAAAATAAGTCAAAGCATCGACAGCCCGCTACCCGAAGAGAGGGATGTCTTCTTGGAAGATGTTTTTAGAGGCACTGGCTAGTACTGCTATTAAATATGGAGAAAGCTGCTAAATCAAACCATGTTACCTACTATTCGGCGTCTGGTGGGACCATAAAGAAGACCCTTTTTATAGAAGATGGGGGTTATTTTCGAAAGTGTAAATTAGCAAAATGCGCTCCCACTTCCACCACCGTAATACCTAGTGGAGTGTGCGTTAATTCCTTACATACTGATATTGATTTTATAGGAAAAATTGACGCTCAAGAAATATTGGTGCAGTTAGGCGCTTTCTTAAGAGCGAGAATCTTTTAAACTTCTTATTTTGGAACAGAACAGATACCCATTTTAGAAAACTTTTGATCCTTCTTCTTTCTAGAGATGCGTAGACATTTTATTTGGAAAACACCGACGTCAATATAAAGTCACGTTTATCTTAATTTTAAATTCAGATGAGTGGGCTTTTTTTGTATGCATCGCTACGAGTAGATTAATTTGTTTCGTCCATCGTGTTTCACCTAAACGTTATCTTTATTATTCATAACGTTACAATTTCAAGATATTTGTAACCATTTCTAAAACGTTTGCCCCTATTTCCAAATCCAGTTTCATTGGACATTCATAATGTTTTCATAAGGTGTATTTCAATTAACTTATTCAACAAGGAAAGCTCTTCAGATGCGAGATGGATGAAAAATGAAAAACTCCGAAACACTTTACCTTCACTAGTTGCATCGGTTCTTAAAACATTTTCAGTAAATATGTGCGCGTTTCTTTAAATTCGTTATACACATGAAGACGAATTCCTTACAGAGGATCACATTTATAATTATAATTGTAGGAAATTTTGCATCCGTATTTTATTTAATTCAATAGATTGGATTTTCAGAGATATTTCACTGTACTGCACTTGCCTATATTTAACTTCTGAAAATGGAGACTTTTACAACTTAATGATTTACAAATTTTCGTAACATTTGTTATTACTCAAATATTTTGATTTGTATGAAATTCTTACTTTCTTTGACAGATTAACCACAGTTCGGCAAAGCTGGAATGACAGCTTTGATGATGACTATAAATAATTGTGCTGCGCAAAGTCGACGTACCCCAGAATCAGCAAAGAGTATAGAGTCTTCATATTTAGACTTGTTTATGCTGTTGATACAACGGGACATTAACGTGAATGCGGCTGATAATGAGGGTAATACTGCTCTATGTTTCGCAGTTATGTTTGACCAAGAAGTTTTTATTCGCAAACTAATTATTTCTGGGAGTGACATCAACAAATGTAATAATTGGGGTTTTACCCCACTGGTTTGTGCATGTGGAAACAGAAACAAGAGAATAGTAGACTTACTTATAAAAGCTGGTGCTAAATTATCGAGAAGGGATCGTGAAAAATATTTGCCTATCTTCGAAGATAAGGAACGTATTCAACTGTCTAATTATATTATTAATATATTCAAGCAGTGTCTTAGCTTACAAGATTTGTGCAATATCACTGTTAGAGAAAATCTTAAAAATGTAGGAGATGCCTTTCGACTTGAATTACCTCAATTGCTAATAGACCACCTGCTACTGGAACACTAATAGAAGTATAATGGGATTCATTGGCATATATGTAAGAGTAAAATTCCTTATAAGTGGTTTTGTTACATTAAACCTAATCTTGTGTAAATGAGCAAGTTTAAAATATAATAAAAGGTAAAAAAAAATCAGATGGCATTTTCTTTTTGATGAAAAGTAGTATTTTTAACTCACTACCAAGGGTATTTGATATTCTTTTTTGTAAAAGCGTTCTATATTTATAACAAGGCAAACAAACAGCATTGAAGGTGTGTTATGTTTACAACAATAAAACAACGCAAAAACAAAATCTACGCATTTGAAAACCGAATAGAAAGAGTATCACATTGTTTGTTACAAATTAATCCTTACGGTAGATAAAAAAAAAAAAAAAAAAAAAAAAGAAAAAAAAAAAAAAAATGTTACGAAACTTTATTATAATTATGTTCAAACTACTGGAACAGCAAAAATATGACACGTGTAGAGAATGACACATTTTGCCACATATAATCTAACAAAAATTTACATCTACGAAGTAGAATAAATTTCAATTGTTTGCAGAGGTATATACGACTACAGATAATTAATAACACAGCAAAAACTTTTGAAAGATTTGTTTATGTTTTGTTAATTATTCTTTCGGTTGGAATAATCTAATGATTTAAAATGCTGCATGAACTTATATTAATTTACTGGTATTACTTATATTAATTAAATCAGTAATGTAAGCATGCTAAAATACTTTCAGGGGAAGTTAAGCAGAACTTGAAAACTATGTTCCGTTTACGTCAGTATTACATTCTACATAGGATTATTCGTGTGTGTATGTGATTATGGCAAAGCCTCGTGGGCTATCTGCCTAAGAGGATGGATGCCTTCGTGGAGGACTTTCTAAGGGAAACTGGCTCGTATACACGTTACACATGGGGAAAACCACGAAAACGCCCATGCAGCCAGCCCGTTCGCGGGATTCGGACCTCGAACCGAACTACCAGCGGATTATTCGTGTAAATTCAGAGTTGTTAGAGAATTTGAGACATATTTGGTATTGGCATTTGAAACAGATATTAAATTTCAATAGTTTATATTTCATTAATTATTAGTTCGTTTGTTAAATTAACAATCCTATTATAACTGGTTAAGTGAAACTGTGTTCAGGTGTTAAATTGAAATTTTATATCAAGATCAGGCTGCAATTTCTTAAAAGATCAGACTGCGATTTCCTAACAAAACGGTAATTTCCTAAGATCTTCATGTGTAGAATGTAAAATCGTTAGACAAAAAATCTTGTGATTTTTATATTTCTTTCTTTAAAAAAAAATTCACCATTTTGAAATTTTGAAGGCAAAATGCAATATGAATTCAGATTCTATTATTTTTTATTTGCATTTATTTATTTATTTACTTTCATTTTTCTGTTTTTATTTAAAATTGTATTTATTGATTATTGTTTTATTGACTGATTTTTATATTTATATTTTTTAATAATTGCAAGATAGATTTCTGTTGAATATACATTTAAACTGTTTAAACTGCCGTTCGTGTTTTTGGCTTTCGATGACGTATTCCGAAATTTACCAGAAAAAATGTAATTTCCTCAAGTGTTAGCCTAAACTGACTGACAACTTATAGCCAGAATATTGCTGAGATCAGTAGTTTATCTGGCTCAAAAATTTATGCCAGATGTGCACAATAACATAGAACTATCTTCACATAATTTCCGCAGTAAGGAGGAGCAAAGACGGATAAAGAATAGGAAGACCAGCAACGCAAGAGCTCACTAGCAAGTAACCGGCGCGGTAAAGGCGTGACTAAGTGGGAGCCATAAAATGAGTGTAGAATGTGAATAAAACTAGTGAATTTAAGAAA